CCTTAAATCCACACGGAACCCATTTCTCTCACTAATGTCTGGACTTAAGTTCCTCCGCTCTGCTCCGGAAATAAAAAAATCCGGTTCCAAACTCTAATCTTGATTACAATTTGTTAGTTGGATTCACCATTATTAATTACTAGTGTATGTTTATCTAGGAAGGATTATTAATAGATCCAATTGGAAACCCACGAACAGTGAGAATATATACCCGTGATACAAATGCAAATAATATCATTTTTCAAGATCATATTAATCCTCAATCCGTTACTTCCCAGGTTCTCCCTGGGTTTACAATGAATATTCAAGCCATCTTTCAGTTCTGAAAATATAAAGAAATAAACTTGTATAATTGTTATCATTTAATGATCTTTATATTTTATTCAATGTGAGCAATATAATAAATCGCGTGTTGCCAAAACATATTAAAGTTAACAAATGCTAACGCTAATAAAAAAATTAATCAAGCTTTTAAAAAAGCATAGTAAATGTAGATTATGTGTTGCACACAATTATATGGGCGGCGGTCAATAGAAATGAGCGAGAATTGCGATTTTGTTTTAGGTTGTACAAAATACAAAATACTTGCCGACCCAAATCGGACTGATTCGGGTACGAACGTACGTACGTACATAGAATGTTGGGGTGTCCATCCAACATTATAATTAATCAAATCTATGTTGTTACTCTCTTCAGTTATATCAAACGAATCCGTGATTAAAATGCATCGTTTGGTTTAAACAAAAAAAAAGGAAATTATGTATATATATATACGTATATATTCGGCAATACATATATATAATTGACGATATGAAATAAAATTCATTTTAAGCCTTTCGAGGCTTCTATTTTGTTTCGTGTCTCGATCATGATTTTCATGACAGTTGACTTATCTCGTCAAGAATTGGATCTTGTTTAATTAGCAGTGAAAATAGCTATATAGTTATAAAAGTTGTATATTACGAATAGTACGACTTCGTGGCATGTTCAAGACTCTAAGAAATTGAATCAGCACAACATTAAGGTATTAAGTAAATTATCTACATAGAAAAGTTTGGCACCACTTTCAGCGATATTCATACTGTAATAAACAAACAATGTACACCTTCGTCCTGCACTTAATGAAATAAAGAACTGTTATTTGCAATCTGATCAGCGTACAAAAGTATTAAAAAGTAGGTAATTATTATTCATCGTTGTTTTATCTTCTTGCAAAACCTGCACTTAATGAAATAAAGAACTGCTGTTATTTGTAATTTGATCAGTGCATTTGTGAATGATGTACTGTACGTAAGTATATATTAAAAAATAGGTAATGATTATTGATCATTATTTTATTACCTTACCAATCCTCTAGTGCATTCTAAGAAGTCTTCAACGTTGTAGATAGTTTCTATTAAATTTTTTATCAAAAATATAATATATCGATATTACCAATTCAAAATAAGCCGTACAAAAAGATACTCTTTCCGATTTAGCGTTAGTGGTCAGAGTAGATAGGTTTTGGTATCTACGTATAATCAGTGACATAATCGTTTTTTTTTTTTTCTATTCATATTTTATGAATTATAAACGCCGCTTGTTTAACAACTATAGAATCGATTTTAATTAATTTAAAAATCTTTTATTCTTTTTAACTCAATACATAAATTTTTAAATCTTTGACAAAAAATTACAATATTATTTTACTATTAACCACAGTTTAAATAACATTTATTATAGACTTTTAATTCAATTTAACCAAAGATTTTATTTATTTACTACTTTATTTAAAAATAAAAAATTACAAAAATTATAAGACAAAAAAATGCTGAGATACTTGGTTTCGAAGACTGATTCTCCAACCACTACATAGAGGTGTATCTCGTAGTTGGGTGCCTAAATACCCAAAAAATAGTATTCTCACGAAGATAATCTAATACTATTTCACGCATATAATATCTTCGCATATATTTGCAGTTTTTAAAACTATACTTATTAAGATGCATTTAACACAATGACTACGAAACAAATAAAAAAGACACGAAAAATAAAATTAGAAACCAAAAGGTTTCTAAGGGACGACAACTAAAAAAATAAAATAAAGAAGACAAAATTAGAAACCAAAAGGTTTCTAAGAGACGAAAACTAAAAATGAAATATAAAACAAACACGAAAAATATAAGATACAGAACACTAGGAACCAAAAAAAAAACTACTTCTAAGGGACGAAAATTACTCGAAAAAAAAATAAACCAAAATAAAGCATGAAAAATATATGAACCAACCAAGAATAAACGACTAAAGGAATGACAGTTTCTCGCTTCGGAATGGATGCCCAATGTACCTTATTAGCATATGCAAGTGAGAATGGTAATAGCTTTCATAGGCACCTGCATGTTGGCTACAATTGTACGGAATAAAAAACGACGACTAAAAAATAAAATGAAGTATTGAAAAGAGATAATAAAATAATGAAGCAAACTGTAATAAATATTAAAGCTCTGGGAACAAATGACTAAAAGAAAAGGAAAATAAAAGTGTAAGAGATGATAGATGATAGTAAGAATAAAGAAAAGTGTAAGAGATGGTAGATGATAGTAAGAATAAAGAAAAAAGAAAAAAGAAGAAATTTATATATAGACATGTTTTGCAAACGCGTTCCATTATGAGAAAAAAGGAGGACACCAAAATACAGAACATGTAATACTAGTAAACTGCTGATTCGTATACCCCCATGCAGCGGAAGCATTCTGGCAGTGATGGCATTCCCATTCGGCCGACATAATCCAAAGTCCCGTATGAGGTGTACCCGGGGTATTATGCGGATAAAAATTCATTCGGATACTATCCATATTATATCTCATCTTTATTGCAATGGTTGAATGGGAGAACGACGTATAATTAATACATAGTGTAGCTCCAACTGCTACTAGAAGTTATGTGGACTGAATAATACGAGGTTTCTAAAGGCATAGTAATTCTATAAGGGCGATTTAATGATGGTGTGAACTTATGAGAAAGAATCATTATGACTATGTCACTTTTATGATGAAAACGAAGTTCTGTTAAAATAAATGCTTCACTTTTTATACATTTTGATTAATATATGAAAGAGAACACATTTTGAACCTACTTTATGACATCAGAGGTTTCACTCTGCCATGTTAGCCTCATATCACTGCCTCATACTTAGAACCTACTTTATGACGTCAGAGGTTTTACTCTATCATGTTGGGCACTGTCTCTTTAAAAATCACGATACTAATTTAGTTAGATGATCAATAACACCTAAAAAGGTAAGACCATAAAAATAATTCGTTATCGTTATCTAGTTTGGTGTAAAACATTGAAAACTGCGTATGAATACCATTCACCTATTGGACAAATTAGATCACGTTACCGTTAATACAGCGCGTTTTCGCTCAAGTAAAAAATGTTATGTGGTAGTCGCTCAAGAAAAAATGTTATTTTGCTAGTTGCTCAAGTAAAAAAAATGGTATGTGCTGGCGCTCAAGTGAAAAAAATGGTATGTGCTAGTCGCTCAAGTAAAAATTTTCTTATTCGATATTTATAATATTTTTCAAAGAATAAAAATCTAACTATAATCATTGGTGATTATCACCAGGGTGCTATCTAAAAAACGTAATTAAAGTTAGAGATTCTGGTAAAAATGTTCAGAACCCTCGAAAACCTGACTTTAACTAAAATTTGAACTCATATAAAACCCCTCTTTTGGTCTCAACCCTAAAAATAAGTTCACCACTATTTCTTTTCAAAAAGCACCAAATTTGAGGATTATGTAATTAACGTTAATTGATTGGCTAATCTATCTATTTAAGATATATCTGATATAAGATTTTAAGATTGCTAACCAATAAAAATTTGTATTACACTTTACCAATGAAAGATTTGCATTAGCACAGGATAACCGATGATTAATTTAGGGAAAGTCCAGTATATACATACACTAAATTATGTATGTAGAACAGTATAGAAAATTTCTGAAAAGCAAGGAGTTAAAAAGATAGATACTGTATTGTCAGAAAGATACGAAGATTATAAAATTAGATCAAACTAGAAATAATTCTTCACCTTAACTTAAAAAAAAACCTTTGTTGCTTTTATACAGTATACTGTACAGTAGTATAAATAATATAAAACATTAAATATATATTTGATAAATTTTAGAATTTGGAAAAATTCGGTATCTGCTTCTTAAATATAAAGTAAAGGGGAGTATTATGATGCAGTTAACCTTTACGGCCAATATCATGTGACTGAATGATCCGAATCGAACGATTTTAATACCATTCGATTCGTCTCATCGATACGAATCGAATGGTACCAAAATCGTTCGTTTCTGACCACTAGATCACGAGATATCACAAATTAAAACAACCCAAAAAAATCAATAAATTATCAGTTATTGTATATGGACCAATTATGACGCACACGTAATATCTTGTGAACTAGTGATCAGAATCGAATGATTTTGGTACCATTCGATTCGTCTCAATGAGACAAGGTGAATGGTACAAAAATCGTTCGATTTCTTCACTATGTCAAAAGGTACAAATAATTAAAGATTAAAATTTTAAAAGACTAAAAAAAATATCTTACTTTATTTAAACATCGATATTTCATGGCACAGTGATCAGAATCAGATGATTTTACCGCCATTCGATTCGTCTCATCGAGACAAATTGAATGGTAGTAAAATCAACCGATTCTGATCACTGCGTCATGAGATATCACATGTGCGTCATAATTGGTGCTGCGTCACTTTTACAAAGCGCAAATGTTATCTATAGAAGCTTTTTGATAAGTATACTGTTACAAGATAATCTAAGAAGTTTGTTGATCACGTGATACAATATGCGGACGCATGTCGTGGGATGTAATGCATATAATTAAAAGGAACGAAAAGTTTAGCATTTAGTATTAAGAATTGATCTCTGATTTGTTCGATATAAAAATAATTTTGACATTTTGTTGCTTATTTTTAGATAATTTTGCACATTTACGTATATATTACGTATATATCAGACATGTAATTCGCATTGGCAAACCTTTTGATTGAATAAAATTAGGTATCACTTTATACTTTACAAATTAAGTTCGATCAGGTGATTTGATCTAACGTGTTATTTTTTTGTACGTGTTGTTTTCATAGTCTATAAATATCTCTCATTTTATCTCAATTATCCGTACTATACTTTATTTCATGTCATCAAAGGCTCTTAAGATAGCTTTCGTACATCCCGATCTCGGTATCGGTAAGCCTATAACCCATTTTATATTTGTCATTGGCCGATGTTAATGCTTATATTGCTTACATGTCGTACGCATTTTACATTCAAAGGTGGGGCAGAACGTCTCGTGGTTGATGCTGCTACTGGTTTAAAATCAAAAGGTCACAAAGTAGTTATTTATACTTCTCATCATGATCGTGAACATTGTTTTGAAGAAACTAGAGATGGTTCGTGTCGGTGCACTTATGTATATTACTGTTGTCATACATTGTAGTTTCCTTATTGAAATTTTCTTTTTCTTTTTTTAGGTTCACTTGAAGTTAGAGTACGTGGAAATAGTATTATTCCACGTACCTTTTTTGGATCATTTTACATAATATGTGCAATTTTACGACAATTACATCTTACCACTTCCTTGATTTTGAGAGATAAAGATCAATTCGATGTTATATTTGTTGATCAATTATCCGCTAGCATTCCACTTTTAAGATTGACTGGTGCAAAAGTAATTTATATTTTCATGCATATATTACATTATTGCCTTTTTTTTATCTTTTTTAGTTGATATTAACTTTTTTAAAATCACAAAAAATAGATTTTATTTTATTGTCATTTTCCAGACAAATTATTAACGAAACGCGAATCAATTTTGAAAAAAATTTATCGATATCCTGTTGATTTACTAGAAGAATTGACGACTGGTTATTATCATTTTTTAAAAATCTTTTTACTCATTCCTCAATGTTAATTTTTTAATAATAATGATAATAATAGGCATGGCAAACTGCTTGGTTGTGAATAGTAATTTCACATCTAATGTATTTCGCGAATCTTTTCCTCACATAAGAAAGGTTCCTCAAGTTCTTTATCCTGGAATACATTTTGAAGCATATGATAAAAAAGTAGATGTTGATGATATCAATATTAAGATTTTAGAAAGGTAATTTCATAAATTTTTATTATAATTTCCTTGATATATATTAAAGTTATTAAACTATTATAATTCTATTTAATATACGGATTTTAGCTCAAAAATGACAATTTTATCAATTAATCGTTTTGAAAGAAAAAAAAGTATTGTGCTTGCCATACGTGCTTTTGCAAGGTTACGAGATGATAATATGATATCAGAGGAACAATTCCTAAATATGCGTTTGATCATTGCCGGTAAATGTATATTTATTTTTTTGTATGTAATCTTTTAAGAAAAAATTATATATTTATTTTTTCAATTTCGTCTTTACAAGGTGGTTATGATCATCGTGTGCAAGAGAATGTGGATCATCATAAAGAGTTGGATCGTGTGGCTTTACGATTGGAACTCCAAACTTTTACAATTATGCCTGGTTCGACAAAATATCCACCAGAATCAGCGCAAATAATATTTTTATGTTCCTTTAATGAAGCGCAAAGGACATATCTTTTATCAAAATCACATTGTCTTTTATACACTCCATCAAATGAACATTTTGGAATTGTGCCCATAGAGGCTATGTATGCTCGTTTACCTGTGATCGCATGTAAGAGTGGTGGGCCAAGAGAAACTATTCAAAATGATATAACGGGTGTTTTATGTTCGCCTACACCTTTAGAGTTTTCAGAGGCGATTGCTGAATTTATTTCGGGTAAACATGATCGAAAAGTTATGGGCGAACATGGGAGAGAGCACGCACAAAAAAATTTTTCTCTGACCAAATTTGTCAATTCTCTTGATCTTATTTTAATGAAGTTAGTACAAGACTCTCCGAGACCAAAACCATTACAAGGTCCTTTGATATGGTTTTCTACTGCTATTACTTTATTTGTATTTTTAATATATCAATACAGTTATTAAATTTAGCTACTATAGCAATAGTACTTCATAAATTATTATATATAACGATCAGCGACTTAGTGCGTGTTATTAACGTTAACTGTTAATAAATTCGCACATTATTTCATCTCACATTGGGCCGTTGAAGAATTTAAAGTTGTAAATTCAACCAGTATAGGTTGTTGTAGTTCTATATATTTATTTAAAAAATTCTAACTTGTTTTTATATAATTAAATATTAAAATTGCAAATTTACTATCAGATAAATTGATATCGGCAACTTAGGTTATGAAAACCAATTAATTAAATTTGCCTGCTTTACAAATTAAACGATAATATCTTTTATAACCCAATTTTAATTAGATGTCTTACATTGTCCATATTGTATAAAATTAATGTAATTAGACAATTGCAGATGTAACTATCTAAACTCATATAATAGTATACACACTAATTTTTTGGTTAGTTAAACGTTAACAATTGTAAAAATAGAATGTTTTGAGAGGTATGGCTACTATGTGGTTAAACTGACCCAGAAATATTTTTCACTTAATAGTTCCTAAAATTTTGAATTAATTGACTAAATTTTTTATTGTCATTAAGGATCAGACACGTAACGATCGAGGATCTGTCGTTTCCTCCTTCGCACTAAATACTCTTCCACTTCTTTTTGGGTTGGTACAGCTACATGTGCAACAAACTTTTCCGACAGTCGATCGATATCTTTTTTCTTTTGCGTGAGTTTATCTTTATCTTTATTATCTGGTAATTCTGATGCTTCTTCTATAACTAAAGTCCAAAAAATATATGTAAATTCAGTTTATTTGCTAATTAGCCTAGATTTTATTGGAATAATATAATAATTACTTTTAAGCTCTTGCTCTCGTTCATATTCGAGCAGTGACCCATCTTCTTCGTCTCTGTATCCATAATAGTCTGCATCAACATTCTTATATAGGTCAGACCTTGTACGTTTTTGCGGTGTAGGAACTATATTATTGTTGTCAGTAATAGGCTTTGTTGCCCGAGAAATATAACTGGCCAGATTCTTGATAATAATTTATTAGATTTTGCACCTTCTTGCTCAAATAGTTCTCTTACACCCGGTAGATCTTTTGCACGCCCAAAATATCTTTAAATATAAAAGCAATTTTCATTTCAAAAATTAGGATTTTATTGATTATTTAAAAAATAATTGAAATCGTTAACTTACTTATAACCTCGGTTACCGGGAACTTCTTTACCTTCATAATCCAACATCTTTGGACCAACTCTCTAAAAATTAAAGTAATTCTTGAATATTTAAAAGTATTTTAAAGCTTTTTTTGTCTGTTTAAAATTTTGTACACTTACTCTATAATCTGGTCCACCAAGTTTTTTGATCTGATCTTCCCAGTGCCCCTTTTCTCTCATTAATTTATTAATTTCATCATTCAAATCTCGAATTTGATAATCCGAGAGACCAGCTAATACAATTTAAAATAATATATAAAACAAGGATCCATTAAATTTATAAAAATAAATTATATAAAGCATCGTACCATCCTGAATTTTTGATACTTTTCTTGAAATTTCCCTAATTATCTGTTGACGCCATTTTTCCGCATCTTTCAGATTGTTACAATCAGAGGCCAGATAAGGTCGCCGTTCTTTTGGTTTAACTAAACCAAGCTGAATGGCCTGGGCCTCACGAAAACGGTAGAGCATAGATCTTAAAAACGGAGGTAATATTAGTTATACTAATAGTTTAATCTTTCTAATCGGAAGTGACTATTAAAAAAATTACTCACTGGGCTTTCTCTTCATTACGAGCCTGAGATAGTTGTAAAATTCTTACTATACTTGTTAAATTATCGAAACGAGACGAAAAGCATTAACTCACCATTATGGAAGCAGAATAAGAACACGTTGACTACGTATTAAGGAGTAATCGAATGCAATTATAAGATTTTTCCATAGGGGCGTTGATCGCATCTTTTATGATAAAATAATCTATACGTATCGATATTACATACTATATAATTTATTTTTCGACTAAATATTTACGTACGTACGTACAAACTTTTTTTTGATATATGCCAAAGTATAAAATTTTTTTATTAATAATAATTTAAAGCTTTTAAGCTAAATATTACAATTTATTGTCCGGAAAACTATCTCTAAATCGTCCGCTATAATGTTCATATATGAGTGCAAAATAATTCTTTATAGTGACTCTAAAAAACTTAAGCCTTATATTTTATAGCCATTATTTTTTAAAATTAACCGTTTTTCGAGTTTATCGAATTCATTGAGGTGTAATGTAATATCTGTAATACAATATATTGATCCACCTTCCTTTGATATAATCTATAACATGGAGTTACATTCCCTGATCGACGTAAAGGCTCATGCTATCGCCATTCGTTAAACTTTGATAAAGTTCCAATGCCTTTTCTTTTGCGATTTTGTGCAAGCTAAGGTCATTGGCTTTCAGGCGAAATGACAATAACTGGCTCGGTTGAAGTGGTAGAAATTGGCTCGGATGGTCGTGTCGAAGTAGTGGAGGGAGTTTCGTTTTTTTTATTTTTTTCTGGGTTTATTTCTTTAATACGAAATTGTAGATGGTTGAGGTGATCGAAGTGTTGGATGATCGGGTCGAAGCGCTAGTTGATGTTTTTCAAGAACATATACTTAGTGTAGTTCCTAAATTAAAAATTAATTATATGAAAATTTGACATAACCCTAATAAAATAATGATAAAATTGATATTTAGAATAGTTTTGTTTTATACATACCTGATATTAGCGTGGAATATTAGATAGGGGACCTTCATGAACATAATTCATCAAATCCATATATTGCATAACCTGGATTGAAAGTCAAACACTTCTTATATGGTGCCGGAAGCTTTAACTCTCCAATCACGTGATTTTGTTCACTTTTTTATTCATAGTAACTTTAATGGAAT